TGATTTTTTTTATAAAAAAAAAAAAAAATAGATGAGTTGAAGTGAATTACTTGAACAAACCTAAGTCACATAAAGCAAGAGCGGGAGCGAGAGCGAATTCGAGAGCGGGAGTATGAGAGCGGCAGAATTAAGTTATAAATAGTGAGAATTTGAATCAGAACGTGCGTGAAGCGTGAGAGCGGGAGCGCGGTCGGAGCGTGAGAGCAACACCCATTGAGAATGATTGTGTGACTTAGGACCAAACATTATCTACCCATCATCTTTAATTTGGTAATTATCTGACTATTAACTTCTGAAATACCCCTCTAATTCATTTTAAATGATAGCTTTATTCTTTATGTGTCTATATAATTTTTTCAACATTAATAAATCAATTATATCAATAAAAATGTGTTTTGGGTTGTCGAAAGTTATTTATAAGAATTTTATGTTTGAGTTTGTCAGGGATTAGAAACCCCTCCCTTCCCCTCGCTTTGTTTTTTCTTCTCTTTTCTTTTCTTATTTAGATTAAAGTTTTCCTCCCAATTTCTCCCCCGTCCCCTCAATTCCAATGGACCATTAAACTAATTTTAAATCTCTGTGTCCCATGTTTTTGACTTTTTTTATTTTTTGGTTTCTTTTTGCCATATCCAACGGATTTATATCAAATATAAAAGAAGTGCTGGTTGTGCTCATTTGCTTTAATATAATTTGTGTGTTTACCCACTTGAATCACGACTTATGAATTAAAAAACTTATGGATAAAAGTCGTAATAACACAGGACTTACTCACTTGAATCACGACTTTTATCCATAAGTTTTTTTATCCAATAATCTAGCTTAATTATATGATTTTACATAAATTTCTTTTTCTTTTGGTAAATGGTAAATTTAATAACAATCGATCTTTTATTATTTTCAATTTATAAAATTATTACTTCATAAAAAATAAAAAGTAAAAAAATATCCATCTTGAAATACTTCATATCCCTTAATATTTTTAATAAATGTATCTCACTTTTATAAACTGACTACACTCTATTTTTCTATTCGAGTTTCATGCAACGTTGAAATAACTCATTCTTACTCTACTTCAAATTTGTAGAATTACACCAATGAGTATTGACTCAAATGGTATGATCTCTCCTTCAAATGAGAGTTTAAGTATATTAGTTTTGCTAGAGGTAATATTGTGAATTTTTATTCATTACTTGACTTTTTTGAAAAAATAAATAAATAAATAAAATAGTAGAATTGCAATCTTAGAACACGAAGTTTACTCTAAAGCCTCTATCTATATGCATTCTTCTTATACTTATAATTTATTATCGCTTTGTTTGGTTAGATAAAAGTAGTGAAAAGATTTTTTTTTTTATATATTTTTTGGTGTGTGTTAGCAATGGTGTTGTTGGGGGCTATAAATGAACCGAGTCAAGCTTAAGTCTATTCGGGCTCAGTTGGATTGGGCTCGTTCATTTGTAAGCTCAGCTTGAGTTTGGCTTGGAATCGTAATGTGCTCGGACTTAGCTCATTATTATATAGAAAAGCTTGAGTTTGACTTATTTAATTACAAAAGTCGTTCGAACTCGATTGATTTGAGCTTGTATTCAAAATCGTTTTATCTTATTCAAGAATTTAAGCATGCTTATGCAAGTCTGAGCTTATATTCATGAAGTTATACAATTCTATGTTTATATTCATGAGCCTATACGAACCTACGCGAGCATATGTTCACGAGCATACACAATTTGAGCCAAATATTGTTTAGGGTCGACTCCTTTACTAACTCATTTGCTTAATACTTGAGTTCGAGTTAACACAACTCAATTCATTTGCGACTTTAATTATTGGGCCTTCTAAATGCACCTTACAATTCATTATCGGACACATGTGTACTCTACAAAAATTTAAACTCAATCCCACTTTTGTCCTTATGTGAACTTGAAATAAAGTATTACTTGACTATTGTAACAAGTGGATGCTTGTTCATTTATCCAAAAGTTCGAATTATTGGGTAGTGCTACATTCTCCCCCACCCAAATCGCAACGCCCTTACATGACACCGGATCAAGGATTGGATCGGCTTTGATACCAACTATAACAAGTAGGCGCTTGCTCATTTATCCAAAAGCTCGAACTATTGGGTAATGCAGCATACTCACCCATTTATACTCATTCACTTTTCCATCTAAATTCGATGTGGGATAAATGACCCTTATTACAACTATACACCTCAACTAGTATTTTCAAATTTTGAATAAAAAAAAAAAAGAAAAAAAAAAAAGAAAAAGGAGAATTTTTATGAAAGGTGTTCTTTCATAAAAACTTAAACCAAATTATTCTTAAAAAAAAAAAACACACACACACACACACAACTTTCGTGCTTAGCCAAACCATTAAACGGAATTAATTGACAACTTTTCTTATAAAATTTTCGTTCTAAATACGCAGTAGAAAAACTTTTCCTCACTCTCACTTCAACTTTCTATTTGTTTCACTTTTCAGTCAAACGAAACAGAGCCGTGCACTGAGGTCAAATTATTTTCCTCCCACCTCAAGCAACACGAGTGGTGGACCTGAAACTCCAAAGTTGACTCTAAACATTAAAATCACATCATATGTGCAATCTCTGTGTCCAAAACTATAAAGTTGACTCCACACATTAAGACCACATAATGTGGCATTTACGTAATTATATGCACTCTGTGCCCACACACTATAAAATTAATCTATCAGTAGTATGAAAAGTCAGAGCTCACCAAGTTTGAAAAACAACCGTTAGTTTCTCCGATATTTCCCGGGAAAAATCCAAAACACACCACCCGCAGAAAAAACTGAAACGTAGTCAAATGTCGAAAATACCCTCACCCTTCCTTTTCTTCTTCCTCATCATACCCTTCCAGGGAAATTCCCAATCTCCGGCCACCGACTGGGAAGTCCTACTGAAACTCAAGCAACAGTGGGACATCGTTGATCCAATCGTGGAACAACTCATCCTCCCAGTGTGACTGGCCCGACATTATCTGCATCAATGGCACCATCGCCGGAATAATTCTACGGGACAAGAACATCACCGAAATTCCACCAAGCATTGGCCTACTACCAATTCTCAAGAATTTTAGGGTTTTTTCTAACAATTTGAGTCGAGTTTTGCCACCTGAATTAGGGCTTCACTCGAATCTTGAAGCTTTCGAGGTTTCAGATAACGAATTCACCGGAAAATTACCGGAGAATCTATGTGCCGGAGGGGGTCTGGCCAGCGTGGTCGCTTTCTCCAACAATCTCACCGGTGAAATCCCAAAATCGTTTGCAAATTGCGATACTCTGCGCATGGTCCAGCTCTACAGGAACAACTTTTCCGGCGAGTTCCTTCGGGTCTCTGGACTTACATTGAATTTATCCCAGATGATGCTGAGTGACAACTCATTTTCTGGTGAGCTTCCGAGCAAATTAGCTTGGACCATGTCGAGGTTGGAGATCAGAAACAACAATTTTTCTGGTCAAATCCCAGTTGGGGTTTCTTCTTGGTTGAGATTGGTTGTTTTTAAAGCCAGCAACAATCAATTTTCCGGTGGAATTCCGGTGGAGTTGACCGGCCTTCCTAAGCTCACCACGCAGTTGCTTGACGGCAATCAACTGACTGGTGAATTTCCACCGTGAGATTTTGTCATGGAAGTCCCTAACCAATCTGAATCTTGCTAGGAACAAATTCCAGCATTGATATTGCCGGATATTCTTGAACTAGACTTGTCCTCCAACCAGTTTTCCGGTCCAATTCCACCTGAATTAGGCCATTTGAAGCTTACTTCTCTCAATTTATCCCCCAACCAACTCTCTGTGCAAATCCCAAATGAGTTTGATAATATGGCCTCTGAAAACAGTTTCCTGAACAACAACACTCTTTGTGCCAGAAACCCAATTTCAAACATCCCCAGTTGTTTCACCATAAGCAATGAATCCAACAAGTTATCGACAAGGAGAGTTGCTGTGATCGTAGTTTTCGTTGGTACTGGTTGCCTAACACTTGACACTCATCTCTTCCTTTTTCACTTACTCTTGAATCAGAATTCGGTTAATGGGGTGCTAAAATATATTGCATCTTTATTACAGAGTATGCTTATACGACGAAAGTGAATGAGAAGATCGACCTTTACAGCTTTGGAGTTGTGCTTTTGGAATTGACAACAGGAAGAGAAGCCAATGACGGAGATGAGCATATAAGCCTTTCATAATGGGCTTGGCGACACCACGCGCGGAGAAGGAAACTCTGTTGCTGATGCATTGGATGAGGAGATCAAGGAACCATGTTACTTGGAAGAAATGTCAACAATGTTCAGACTAGGGCTCATGTGCACGACCACGTTGCCCTCCTCTAGACCTTCCATGAAAGAGGTTTTGCAGATTCTTCGTCAGTGCAGTCCTCTGGAGGCCGACGGAGGGAAGAAAGCCCCGAAGAAGTACGATGTCGCCCCCCTCCTCGGCACTGCCAAGTATCTTGCCAGTTATAGGCGGAGTAAAAGGGTATGAGATGGAGATGATGATGATGATAGTTTGGTCTTCAGTGTGTGACATTCTAGGTTGCTATATGATGGTTAAGTATTTTATGTACTTGAGTTTTAGTTAGAAGAGTTTGGCCTTTTTTTATTTTTACTTTTTGCCGGAATCAGCACTGAAGGGAAATCATATATATATTCCTATGCTGATTCTGGCAAAAAGTAAACAGAAAAAAAAGGCCAAACTCTTCTAAAACTTCAGTACAACAAATACTTAATCATCATATAGCAACCTAGAATGTCACACACTGGAGACCAGCTTCCATGTCGCGATTTCACATCTCTTCTTCTCCCTCCTGTAGTCTCTTGTTACAAACAAAATCAATAAAACAGTAACTATGCAAACCAGTACCAAGAAAACTACGATCACAGCAACACTCCTCGTCGAAAACTTGTTGGATTCACTGCTTCTGGTGAAACAACTGAGGATGTTTGAAATTGGGTTTCTGGCACAAAGATTGGTGTTGTTCAGGAAACTGTTTCATAGGCCATATTATCAAACTCATTTGGGATTTGCCCAGAGAGTTGGTTGGAGGATAAATTGAGAGAAGTAAGCTTCAAATGGCTTAATTCAGGTGGAATTGGACCGGAAAACTGGTTGGAGGACAAGTCTAGTTCAAGAATGTCCGGCAATGATCCGATCGATGCTGGAATTTGGCCATGGAATTTGTTCCTAGCAAGATCCAGATTGGTTAGGGACTTCCATGACAAAATCTCCGGTGGAAATTCACCAGTCAGTTGATTGCCGTCAAGCAACAGAGTGGTGAGCTGAGGAAGACCGGTCAACTCCACCGGAATTCTGCCGGAAAATTGATTGTCGCTGGCTTTAAAAACAACCAATCTCAACCAAGAAGAAACCCCAACTGGGATTCGACCAGAAAAAATGTCGTTACTGATCTCCAACCTCGACAGGTTCCAAGCTAATTTGCTCGGAAGCTCACCAGAAAATAAGTAGTCACTCAGCATCGTCTGGGATAAATTCAATGAAGTCCAAAGACCCAAAGGAACCTCGCCGGAAAAGTTGTTGCTGTAGAGCTGGACCGTGCACAGAGTATTGCAATTTGCAAGCGATTTTGGGATTTCTCCAGTGAGATTGTTGGAGAAAGCGACCGCGCTGGTAAGAGACCCTCCGGCACATAGATTCTCCGGCAATTTTTCGGTGAATTCATTATCTAAAACCTCGAAAGCTTCGAGATACAAGTGAAGCCCTAATTCAGGTGGCAAAACTCCACTCAAATTGTTAGTAAAAACCCTAAAATGCTTGGGATTTGGAAGTAGGCCATTGTTTGGGGACAAAAATCCTCTCCATTGTTTTGGCCGGTTGAGATGTGTGGCCCAGATTGGGCCAGTTAATTAAAAAAAAATGACTATGCAAAAAGTTACCCTCAGTTGTTACATAGTGTATTTGGAGTTAACATATATATATATATATATAATATAATGTATATATACCATATATAAATATTATATAGTGAATATATATATTTGGGAAATTTTACTAAAATATCCTTCATATTCAAAAATCCCCCAAAATATTCTTTATTTCTTGTTCTAGGTCGTGGAATTGGTGGTGAAAATCGTGAAGGGAAGTCAAATTGGAAGAAGGTCGCGGAGAAAAGGTTGGGTTCGGACTTTGGTGCGATCGATCAAACTAAGGTGAGATCCATCGAATGCTGTAGAGATCGATGATGTTTGGCGGCACCTTTTTGAATAAAGATAAATCTCTGAGATATTTTGGGAAAGAGACAAAAGTGGTAGGTGGGGTGGTAGGTATGGATAAGATCGAAGAATTTCGATCGATCGAAGAAAAGCTGGATCGATCGAACATGGTGGAATCTTTTGGATAAGGGCAAAGGCTTGGATCCATCTTGAAGTATCCAGATCGATCACTTTCAGATCGATCGAAGAAAAGTTGAGATCGATCGAAATTGTTAAATTTTCACACTTTGCTTCATTTTGCTTCCACTTTGCTCCTTTCTTCCATTCAGCTTGAGATCGCTTCTTTAATACTCTTATTTGGCTGAATTAACTTATTTTTGGGATAAGCACCTAAAAAGGGCAATAACATAAAATTAGTCTAAAACATGAAAGTAAGATAGATAAAGGTACTAGAATACTTAAGCTTAAAGGATTTAAATGTGCACTTTTCAGCGCTCATCACACCCCCAAACTTATATATTGCAAGTCCCTAACAATGAATTATGAAGTAAAGGAATGAAATGAACAACTATACAACTATGAACTAGAAAGCAATAAATAGATGTTGATCTATTGGTTTATCATGTTTGCTCATTTAATGTAAAATCAATTTTACTGGACATCTCATTTTTAATCTTAAGTATTGTTGGGTACTATTTTAGTTATTTTTATATGTCATTATCAGGTGTGCACTAACAATTCTTTCAATATTTTCTTTTAGTCCATGTGCGTGTATGCAGATATATTGCAAGGATAACCAAGTGTCTTCTATGTCCATTAATTCCTCATACTTCAACATCCAGGTCATGGAATATTTGCTAGCTGTGCTTAAATGAAGCTTATTATAGAATAGTATATGATTTGCTATCTAAAGTGATCCAACAGCCTTAAGTTATCTGGTCAGCTTTTATTTGAAGTCAAGGGCTGTGATTAATTCATTGATTGGATAGCTTTTGTGTGGCTATAAGGAGTTGGTGCGTTCTCTCTCTAACGGCTTCATAGTTTAGAGATACATATACAGATCAAGTGTGCATCTGTTAAAAGTAGCACAAAAACTGAACAGAAAAACTATCAGAGTGCTTAAAGATGAAGACACATTATGAGCTCCAGAGAAAAATCAAAGTGACATAGCAGTCCGCAAGGAAGAATCAAGAAAGATTAAGTGGGTTTGTGCTTTATTGACAATCTGAGACAACTTGTGATGTTCATCTATTGAAGACCAAAGAGTGAGCCTGATTGCAGACGAATTTAGAGCAACCATGAAAACCCATTTTGGCCGAAGTCCTGTTGAAGATAAATAGGTGACACTCCATTAAAGAACCCATCACCGGAGAGCTACAGCAACCACACCAGAGAGGCACAGCGACCACACTTGCGTGAAGACTTCATTTCAGCGAGCTAAAATCTCTATCGACAAGAAGACCTCATTCCGGTGATTTTCAATCTCAGTCCAGCAAGCTAAAATAGCAGTATACCAGGACGTCAAAAATCTCTAAGCTTGTATCCAAGCTCCGGTACAATATCATCTTACAGAAATATTTCAAGTGAGCTTCAGTCCAGTTCCGTTCAAACAAACACCATCTCCAGTTGAAGCTTTGAAGTTGAAAAGATCAAATCCAGAAGCGGAGTGCAATGTTTATCATGTAAGGGCTGTGAAATCTATATTTCAAGTTTTGTGCTTATTTAAATCGTATCTTGTAAAACTTGGAAGAACACCATCATTGTATTATATTTTCTTGCTGAGTGACTTGGTGAGCACTTGGTTCAAGCATTGGGATGCTATGAACAGGGGGAGTGATTGAGTGATTGTCGTGAGATTGGTGAGTGGTCCTAGCACAAGGGTGTTGTGGACACGGGAGAGTGCAGCCCCGAGGACGTTTCCCCCACACTGGGGGTTTTACCTCGTATATCTGGTATGAGACAAATCCTAGCATTTCATTTGATGTTCTATCACCATGCATTAAGATAAAAAGTTGCTGAAATCTCATAAGATACCAATTCACCCCCCTCTTGGTATCTTCAATAGATAACGCCACTTTCGTAGGGAACATGATTGCATTTAGCATATGCAACAAGCCTTTTAAACCCCTAGGTTACCCCTAGTGGACGAGTGAAGTTTCGTGAGGATTTCCAGAAATGATACTCAATAACATTAAGCTCATTCTCACAAAAGAGGCACCAATATTGCAAACAAGCATCGGGAGAAAACTACCTCAAGTATGCAAGTTTTCAACCATTTCCAAGCAATCTCCCAAAATCTCAACATCAAGCAAATAAATATGGTCCTCTACACATTAAGAAAATGATTATGCAAATCAAAACAACTCCAAAATCTTTTTAAGTGGACCGGCATCAAATATGTTACTATCTAAGCCAACTAAAGAAATGATCACATCCTTACTCTCAAATTAGCACAGAAATTTAGTCCCGATCATCAAAACAAATAGTGGACCTTTTATTAAAACTTTATTGATCTACGTGCGCTTATTCATTTCACTCGATCTTTTTTTTTTTTTAAAGTACCCCAAGGATCAAAGATGGAAACATGGTGCAATGTGTTGATCTATTAAGCTTTCTAACGATCCATGAGGTAGAGCGTTAGGTCAATAACTCCCAAACCGGACGACTTTAGGGCATTAGGCGTTAAAACACCCCTAAGGACTTACAAGCTCAAATCAACTAGGCTACAAGTCAAAACAACCTCCATCTAATCATTTCCCACTTCTCACCTTTTAGGAGAAGTCCTCACTTTTTTTTATTGCTTTTGCAACCCTTTCTTTTTTTTTTTTTTTTTTAGCATTCAATTATTAACCTAGAGTTTGGGTCCTCCACCTTTCGGCGCAAGAAATTCAATGCTTGATGAGGTTAGAATCCCGGCTACTCAATGAAAAGGAATTGTTATCCACTTTTGTCAAAATGAAAGCTTTCAATACAATACTAGCTCAATTGGGATATAACCAATTCAATAATCAACAAAGCATGTACCCCACAAATGAATGCTAGTGTGCGCCTGTGCTAGTGTAGAATCCTAGAGTAAATCTCAAAACAATCACAAAATCAGGATGATGTGGACCACCAATGCAAGCAAGATATCAATTTTTTGAAAAATTTACTCCTAAATGGCATCCACAAGACATACAAAGAGTATTGGACTCTCAAGTCAAGCAATTTTTAAATTTTAAGCAATATAGTCCTCAAAAGATCAAAATCATCGCTAACATGGATCTCAAATCTCAATTATACATTAAGTCTCAAACTTAAGTAGAATACAATAAAGCCACTTTACCCCCAAACTTAAACCGCACATTGTCCTCAATGTGTAATGAGAACAATGAAAAAGATGGAAAGAGTATACCGTGGTGGAGAAGAGATGAAGCCCGGCAATGATTCATTGGGAAAAAGTGCACCCCTAAACTTGGAATCAACAACCTATTTGAATAATCACACTAGCAAACTCACATCAAATATCAAATGGGATAAGATAAGCAAATCAAGCATTCTAAGGCAAAATAACGCAAGATGCAAGAGAGATATGAGATGAAGCCCTATACCAAGTATGAAAGCATGAGTACACACAAGGGCACAATGGTAAAAAGTTTTTTTTTTTTTTTAGAAGCAAAATTAAACAAACTGCAAGAAAATATGAACAATGATTGCTAAGTTTAATGTCTCTAGCTAGACGGAATACTGCTTTAAAAGATCAAGATTTTTTTTTTTTTTTTTTTGAAGCTTCAGATCGATTGAAAAGGTGAAATCCTGCAGACAAGATCAATTGATGCACAGAGAGGTGAAATATGCAGAGATCCAAAAATTTTATAAGTATGGAACTGAGATCAATCGAAAAGAAAGTTCAATCGATCTTGGAAGACTCAGATCGATCTAAAATGAAGTTCGCACGATACACAGAGAGCTGAAATATGCAGGAATTTCTCGCACGATGGGACTAAGAGATGATTGGATGCAGAGATAATGTTCAATCGATCGAACCTATTCCAAGATCGATCAAACAGAAACAATTAAGGAAGAATTTGAACATCTCATTGAAAACATTGAGTGCATTACTAAATCTCTTCATAAATTGGATCTACCAAAAGGGCAGCTTCCATATGCCTTTGAAAAACTTGTCCCTCAATGTAGGGTTTCAACCTTTGCCCATTCACCTTGAATGTGTTGCCATTATTTAAACTTTGGATTTCAACCGCCCCATACGGCGCAACAGAGATGATCTCATATGGACCTTCCCATTTGGTTCGCAACTTTCCGGGAAAGAGTTTTAACCTAGAGTCAAAAAGCCAAACTTTTTGACCAGGCTCAAAAGATTTCTTCACAATGTGTTTGTCATGAAAAGCTTTAGTTCTCTCTTTGTAAAGTTTGGCATTATGTCTCAACTCTTCCAACTCACTCAATTGGAGTAATCTGTTCTCTCCGGCTTTGTCAAGGTCAAGATTGAGCTTTTTAATTGTCCACATCGCTTTGTGTTCTAGCTCAACCGGAAGATGGCAAGGCTTTC